AGGAAAGCACCTGCTCATGGTATGGGCATGACACCTTGCTGTCCTACGCGAGGGCAGCGGGGCAGCACCAGCTGCCGCCTTTCCGAACGCTCCTCTGGCCTCCCCAGCCCTGCAGTGGAGCCGGCTGGGCCCCCACGCTGCTCCTTGGCTCCCGGTGCAGCTGCTGAGCTCCAGCTCTGGCACGTGGGGCCTCTGGCACAGGGCTGTGTACAGCTGACTGCTAAGACCAGGATGATTCCTCTTCCCGGGATGATTCCTCTTCACATGCTGTCATCGGGCTTTCCCCATGCTTGAGCCAGACGGGGGAAGTGAAGTCATCAGACAACAAAAGGCTGGAGCAATGAGTGCCTGGGGTGGTTTACTAGCTTTTCCTCTGAGGTGTATTGTTTTGAGCTGCCTCTGATTCATTGTTTCTTGCCCAGTGGAGCTCAGCCCTTCCTGAAAAACTCCCTGGCTGGGGAAATCCAAAGGATGTCCTTATGCGTACGCCATTTCTGTTTTTCCTGGAGAAGGGATAGTTGTCCAGGTCAGCATGATGCAGCTGTGGCAGGCAGGAAAGCAGCAGGCTGGTCCCCAGCCCTGCCTCGCTGCTGCCCCAAAGCACCATTCCTTTGTGTGCAAGGATTTTCTCAGTCCCTGCAGACCACACATCATCTACTGCTCAGCCTTTGCCACTAGGCTGGATGGGAACACAGTGGACTGGAAGAAACTGGAGGTACCTAATCCCTGATCCAATGGGTCCCTGGTACGGGGGAAGAGGTGAATGCAAAGCACATCTGCATACAGTGGCTGAAAAGTTTGGTTCCACTCTCTTGGCTCCTGATTGGGGTACGGAGGCATGGTTGACAGCCCTGCATGTTATCCAGACCTCTGAGTCAAGGACCTGCTTCCAGGGCCACATCCTGGCTGGGAGTGCTTGGGTACCTCACCACTAGGCCAGCTGTGCTAGCCCAGCCATAGCTCACTCCATCCCTTCAAATGCTCACTGCTCTAGCAGTTGCTCCTGTTCTCTCTGTTTAGGAAATCCTGGAGCAGTGGGAGCTCTGACCTACCCTGCCAAGCCATGGGACTATTCATTGTATTTCCAGCTTGATGTCACAACAAATGCCATTCTCCTTTGCTTGTTGGGATTTGAATTCATGGAGTCCCCAAAGCACAAGGTGCTGAGGTGGGAATTGAATGAACTGCTGCCACAAACAGTGGCAGCTCTGTCTGTTTCACAGCCACTGCAGCAAGCATTTCCAAGTCACCAGCACATATATCCTTTCCTTGTGTCCCTGGTGTCCTGGTCCTTTCTATCCCACCTCCTCTGCCGTGTGAGACCAGGAACTGCAGGAGCGCCCTTGTCACTGCTTGCAGAGGGCAGTGAGCTTGGGCAGCTGCCTGTGAAATGCAGTTCAGTCCTCCAGTGCACAGCAGCAAGATCAGAGCCTGCACTTCAGATCTTCCCTGTCCTGATGCCAAAGAGAAGTAGGGTGATGGCAGATGTGCTTGGAGAAGGCCCCCAGCAGTGCTCCATGGTTCAGGAGTGCATGCAGCTGCTGGCTGTGGGGCAGGAGCGCTGGGAGCCTCTGCCTGACATTGTGGAGCATTGGCTGTGTCTCCAACCAGCACAGCTTGCCTAGGGCTGCTGATTTGGCACTCCAGATAACAGAGCATTTCCTAGGGATGACCGAAGAGCTGGCAGAGGGCCGCAGCCTGAGGCACATTCCTGCTGGACAAGGCTGGGGCCACGAGTGTTTAGAGACCCACAGTGAGAGGAAGGCCTGAAGCTCCTGCTTTGTCCCAGCTAGGGAGGTGTTATGCCTCCATTTTTGTAGCCAAAATCTGGGTTCACACTCAGCTGTGGGTTTTGGTGGGTGGATTAGTCCTGGTGTAGTCTCTTATTTGGGCCAGGGGGGCTGAGTCCCACTTCACTACAGGGTGGGAGCTTCTGTTCCAGCAGCACCCGGACCCACCCACCACTGGGCTCAGCCCTTGTGCAATTGCTGCTGTAGGAATGGCATGCCAGACTTCCAGCTGTGCCTTTGTGTCTCTCTGCATGGAAAAAGCTCAGGGCAGAGAGCCAGGGATGGCTGGCAGCAGCTCTGCAGTCTGCCTTTCACTCCTCTGCTGGCTTCTCCTGGGAAGAAATGAGGCCCCTTTCCCCTTCGTGTGTTGGGAAGAGGTCCCTGGGACGCTCGTGGTGCCAGAGGTATCTTTACAGAGATGAAGCTGATCCAGGAAACATTTCTCAGAGTATGAGCCCCATGCCATCGCCTCCCACTCCAGCTGGTCCTTCCCCCCTTTCACAGCGCACATCGGACAAGCTCTTTCCGCTTCGGATTATCTCTGCAGGCGGACTTGGCTGCGGGCCCCACATTCCTTCCAGCCTAGCGCTGCCCTGAGCCTGGGCCAAGCCCTGCATGCTGCTGCTATCGCTCGGGCTGAGCCTGGAGGAGACGGTTCTGCTGCTGGGGTGAACCCCACTGGAGCCTGAGACCCTAAATGCCATTTTCCTTGAGCTCCAGGAGGGTTGTGGTGGGCCTGGTGCTGGTGCTCGGCTGGAGGTTACCCTGACAGCCATCCCTGCTGACCATCCTCGATGGACCAAAGCTGCTGCTGCTCCCACACAAAGTTCCCACTTTGCATAAGGCCTTTCCCAGGCCCGGCAGGGCATGTCCCCATCCCTTGGGGCAGATGATGGCATCATCTAGCCATGAGCAGTGAGACAGCCCTGGCCCTGCATTCCACAAGCAGGGAGGGAAAACGTCACTATGGCTGGATCACTGGGGGAGCTGTGGAGGAGCTCAAAGGATTAGGGTGGGCCTGTGCTGGGGCAGGGGCTGCTGCTGCTTCTCTAAGAGCAGAGGTGGCCCCAGCACCAGTCCTTGAGAGACTAATGCCCTTTCCTTCACCCCTCAGCTGTGGCTTGAACCTGTGGGTCCTGCTGCAGCGCTCAGAGGTGCTCCCGTGTGCTGGAACATGGGGAGGACTCCCTCTGTGGCCCCCAGCCCAGCCCTCCACCCTCCTCCTGCGCTGCAGCAGTGTTTGGCCCGGTGCCTGGGGCCAGCTGCTCTCTGTGCACACCAGGGGCCACGGGGGGGGTGCTTTCATAGCAGGGTGGGAGCAGTGCAAAGTAACCAGGGGTCCAGCTCAGCACTGCAGGGAGCAGCAGGCCATGGGGAGGTCCCATCCTGTCCTGGATGGCAGGAGCTGGAGGTGTGCAGGGAGCAGGGGCTGAGGGGGGAGCTGGGTCTGCATGGCGTGGGTGAGCATGCTCAGCTGCTTGGCAGATGAACAATGTGCTCTCCCAGCCAAGCCCACAGAGCTGCTAATTTTAGCGATTACGTTAATTTTTCCAAGCAGTCTCAAGTCCCTTGGTGATTCACAGCCACTCAGCATTGCTGCATCCACCACCCTGGCCGTGGGGATGTGCTGGAGGTGTGCCAGCATGGACAGACAGACATGGGACTGTCCTGCTATCCTGCAGCAAGGCAGACAGCTCCAGCAATAAGTGACGCTGCTGTTCTGGGGCTCCATCATCTCCTTGAAGGTGCAGGGATACAACAGTGGTTCCACACTGGCCAGGGCTTGGTCAGGGGGGCTTCATCCTCTGGTTGGTGCAGCTGGAGGTGAGAAAGGTCCACCAGGCAATGCTGAACCTGGGGCTTCCCTGCAGCATGAGACCCACTCCATCCAGCGCCGTGTGAGTTCCTGGCTGCATGGAACAGCCTGTCCCTGCAAAATGCTAATCTCACCCTCAATCACATCCGTTTGCTGTCTCAGGAGCTGCCTCTCCCCTCCAGATGTGTGGGGTGGGTACATGCTGCCGTCCCAAACCCTCACGCCCTCTGTTTCTCTCCCTTGTAAGTAGCCTGGGGCAACCTCCCAATGCTCTCACCTCCGGGAGTGGCTGCAGAAGTGATTCACAGGCGTGTGCTGTTTGTTACTCAGCCCTGCTTTATTTCTAGCCATGTCTTGAAAATAATCATCTTTTCCGGCCAGAAGCCAGAGCCAATTTCCTGAGGCCTGGGTAGGACTTTTGTCAGGACTATTACCTGGTCTGCTCTGAAATTCTGCGTCGTGGAAGGGACCACAATCTGATGATCCCCCTGTGGGGACAGGGTGTTTGAGGTACCCACCACTGCACCCCTGTCTGCCCTGGGGCAGCACGGCTTGGAAGGAGGCGAGTCCAACATTCCTCTGATGAGCAGGGCTTGGGGCAGTGGTTTATCCAAAGTGCTGAGGTTTAGTTTCTGTGTTGCCTTGCTGAAAAGCTGTGAGCTTCTGGATGAGTCAGAGCGGGCAGAAGCCCAGCAGCGCTGGCAGTGGGCAGATAGCCGTGATAAGGCTGTGATAAGGCTGTGATGAAGCTGTGAGAGCCCTGTTAGAGCCCTGTTCTCTTGCCAGGGCTGCAGGGAGCAGGCAGCTCCCAAGCCCAGTGCCTGACCTCCAGCTGCAGCGCTGTCAGAGAAGCGGGGAGATTGTTTTGGGAAGTGTGGTTCTGGGAAACTGCTGTGTCACGAGTGTGAACTAGAGCCTTTGGTGGGTGGTGTTTTCAAAAAGCCCATTCTCTGTGCCCAGATGCCTGGGTGTTGCCCGAGAGCAGGCAGGAAGCATGGCCAGGGGTAGTGTGAGCCTCGGCACTCACTTTCCAGCCAGAGCGGGGTCCGTGGCCATCCAGCATGTTCTGTGGCAGATGTGATCTGACACAGTGGTGGCCGTGGCCTCCAGCTGAGGGCCCACTCCCTACCATGTTCCCACGATCCCTGTCTCCTTCCTTTGAGACTGTCTGGGGACTCTGCTCTCCATCCCTGCAGTTTGCTGTTTGTCTTGGTCTGGTCCCCTCTCCGAAGAGGGCAGCTTCCACTGCCCTGCACGCTCCCAGGACAGCATGACACATTTCCTCCCCCTTCTCCGGCAGCAGCCCCACGCTGCTCCCATCGTGAGCAGCTCTGGTGCCACCCGGAACCTGAGCAGAGGCTGCTGCAACTGGCAGAAGCATGAGTGGGCTGATTAGAGGCAGTCAGGGAAGTTCCAGCTGCCCTGTGCTTAGCAAGCCACTGCAGTGGCTCTCAGGAAGCCCAAAGGGGCCACATGCGCTGACTCTCCTTAGCCGCTTCCTCCCGAATATCCGTTCCTGGTAGCTGCTGGACTGGGACTGCCTGGAGAAGGTGGGGAGACCTGGGCTGGGTGATGGGACACAAGGGCACCCCAGTGTGCTGGAGGGGGCAGGGGAGGGGTGACAGCAGGTGCCCCTGAACTAGTGGATGGATGCTTTCCAAACACCCTGGGTACCAGGCTCCATCACCTGTGTGTCAGGGCTGCTGAGGGGGCAGAGCAGGGGCAGCCACCGGGAGACAGTTCTTGTGCTGCTCTGGGGTTGCAGGGATGCCTGCAGTGGGGGTTCCTCGGCATCAAGGTGTTCCTCATGGCTCGTGGGCAGTGCTCTGGCTTACTGAGCACTCTCTGAAGCAGCCTGGCCTGTGGCTGGCACCCACACAGCTGCTGACCGTGGCATGGTGCTCGCTTCCTGGCAGCGCTGGTTGTGGTGCCCACAGGACAGAGCCTGCAGTGGGTGCTCGGGGTTTGTGGCCCGTTGGCATCTGTGGCTGTGGGGGGAATGAGAGCTGTGACCCAGGCAGGGTCGGTGTGCCAGGGGTCTGCCTGCACCAGTGGCCCTGGGCTGAGGCACAGCCTAGGGTCCTGACACTTACAGGAGCCATAGACAGGGAAACAAGAGCTGTGCCTCTGCCAAGGAAGTGCTGTGGAGCAGCCCTGGTGTGAACTTGTGCCAGGGAAGGACAGAGTTGTGCCCAGGGATCTGGCTTTGCCTTATCTGCCCCCACGGGCTGTGTCCCACTGGGGACCAGGGGGACTCCAAGGGCTGAGCTGCTGCCTGTGCACAGGCTGACATGAGCAGCATGTTCACAGGGCCCTCTGCTTGTCTTCTTACAAGAACACTGGGGTTCAGGAGAGGGAAACCCAAAACTCCATCCTTGAGATGCTTGCTCTGCTGAGGAAATAGATGTTGGAAGCAGCTCTGCTCCAGCGCTTTCCCTAACCCTGCCACTGCCCCTGTGCTGATTCATTGATTTGGACGGGTTATATACTGGGAGGGGAAGAATGAACCACACTCTGCTCTCTTGCCAGCACGGAGCTGTGCTCGCTCGGCGCTCGTGGCTGCAGGACACTCGGGTAAGTCTCCTTCTCCTACTGCCCCTCTGAGTGGACATGGATTCCAGGGACTCCCAGGGCAGCTCTGGGGGTTGGTTGTAGAGTGGTGGGATCTGCATGTTCAGCACCTTTTTATTTGATGGAGATGTTTATCTTTCGGGTTCTCCGAAAAAGTGAGACCACTTAGATGCTGTGGGAGCTGAAAGTTACACAGGCAATGTGTCCCAGACAACGATCAACAGAGAAAATTAAGGGGGGCAAAGTAATGTTTTGGGGGGACTGATGTTAGGAGAAATGGGATGCTGAGGGGCTGAGCAGCAGAGAATGTTCATCTTCTTGGTCTGTAAGTTTTTTGTCCCTAGAAGAAAAAGAGAGATCAATTGTTTCCAGCTGCCTTTCCTGAAGGTTGCTCCAGTGTGAGTGCTCTCAGTGCTGCCTTAGCAGGGAGTGACATGAGCAGGGCTTTTGATGTGCCGAGCTTTTGGGCAAGTTTATAAATGTCTTGCTATAAACAAAGCTGTTCTTGGATGCAGATTGTTTCCATATGGGAAACATAAACTATGCTGGCTTCTGGGAGGGTTCCTCCCTCCCTGCCTGAGAGCAAGAGTGTTCCCTGGGAGGAGGGCAGGGAGGAAGGCAGGGGCTGTGCCCCAGCACCCTGGGTGCCAGCTGGGGCACTGTGGCTGCACCCCTGCGCTTCCTGAGTCGCCTGTCTGGGTGAGCTCTGCTCAGAGCAGGAGTTGCAGGTTTTCTCCCTCCCTTGTGCCACATGAAGCTGTTAATGCCAGCCTGGCACAAGGCTGCTGCTTTAATCTAGGGAGGGAGGGAGGAAGCTGCCAGGCCAGAGGAGAGAGGAGAGGGTATCCATGGTAGCTGTGTTTGTGGGGTTATGGGGAACTTCGCTGGGCACCACCCCTGGGACCAGCCTGCATACATGTGCTCATATCAGTCGCCCCATGGACAGCAAAAATAGGCCAGGCTGAGACCTCCTGTTGGATGAGGATGGGGGAAACACAGGGCCAGCCTGTACCCAGCCTGTGCTGGGGAGCTGGCAAGGGTCCTGTTGACCCAGGCTCCTGCAAGACTGGAGTTAAGGCATCCCTAGGCACTGCTCTTGGCTTTGCAACAGGAGCTCAGTGCCAGGAGGGTGCTTGGGGTGCTGGGGCAATGCTGGGAGTGGCTGCAGGTGCCACGAGCCAGCTCTGATGAAGGTCTGGGCTCCTTGGTGGTGCCAGGAAGCCAGTGCTGCTGGTAGCAGCTTGCCACACTCTGTGAAACAGGAAACCACACTCTGGCTGCCAGAGGAGCCAAGAGAGCTGGGACGCCAGGGATGCCACTAATAGCTGTGGTAGGGCAGCCAGGCACTGTGGCCTCCAGTTCTGTCTGCTCTGAGCTGCTGCCTGGGCTGAGTCAAGCCTTGTCAGCCCCAAGCTTTCCTTGCCTGCCCTTCTCTGCCTCGTTGACATGCTGGAGGCAGGATGCCCACAGCCTCGGTGTCTTTCTCCTGGGGGAAAGCAGCACCCATCCTTGGCAGTGGCTCTGGGAGCTGGAAAATTGCAGGGGTTGAACCCCATCCTTTGTTTTATCTGCAGGCCCAATGGATCAGGGAGGCTGGCAGCGGTGGCTGCTGCTGCTGGTGGGCATCCAGCTGGCCAGCAGCCAGTGCCCAGAGCAGTGCCAGTGTGTGCGTAGTGCCCAGGTGGAGTGCTTTGGTGCTGGCATCACCACGGTCCCCAGCCCCATCCCTGCCAACGCCATGACCCTGCAAATCATCAACACGCGCATCGCCGAGCTGGGCGACGCCGCCTTCGGCAACGCCTCCCTGCTGATCGGGCTGCGCGTCGAGAAGAACATCCTGTCGCGCATCAGCCCCGGAGCCTTCCAGAACCTGCCCGACCTGCGCTACCTCAGCCTGGCCAGCAACAAGCTGCAGGAGCTCCCTGTGCAGGTCTTTGAGCCTCTGGACAAGCTGGAGTCTCTGCTCCTTTCCAGCAACCAGATCCTCCAGGTCGAGCCTTCCCACTTCGCCCATCTGAGCAACCTCAAAGAGCTGCAGCTGCACGGGAACAACCTGAAGGAGCTGCAGGAGGGGGTGTTTGACCAGCTGACCAGCCTCACCAAGCTCAACCTGGCCAGGAACAACATCGACCGCCTGCCGCCCCGGGCCTTCGAGCGGCTGGCGCGGCTGCAGGTGCTGCGGCTCTACGAGAACCGGCTCAGGCACATCCCGGTGGGCACCTTTGATGGGCTGCTGGAGCTGCAGGAGCTGGGGCTGCACCAGAACCAGCTGGAGACGCTGTCCCCGGAGCTCTTTGTGCACAACACCAACCTGCAGAAGCTCTACCTGTCCAACAACCTCCTCACCGCTCTGCCGAGCGGTGTCTTCTTGCCCCTGCACGCTCTCGCCAAGATCACCCTGCATGTCAACCGCCTGCGGGACATCTCTCCCAGTGCCTTTGGGCCCATGCCCAACCTGCAGGAGCTCTGGCTTTACGAGAATGAGCTTTCCACCCTCCCCACCGCCGTCTTCAGCAACCTCACCCAGCTGCAGCTCCTGGTTCTCAGCAAGAACCGGCTGCGGTCGGTGGCACCGGGGGCTTTCCAGGGCTTGGGGGAGCTGCTGGAGCTGTCGCTGCACTCCAATGCCCTGCGCCGTCTGGATGCCCGGGCACTGGAGGGGCTGCCCAAGCTGCAGAACATCTCTCTGCACCACAACCAGCTGCAGGCACTGCCACGGGGCCTCTTTGGGGCTACCCCTGGGCTGCGGCACCTGCAGCTGCACTCTAATGCCCTGGAGTACCTGCCTGCCGGCATCTTCTCCCCGCTGACTGCCCTGCGAGAGGTGAGGCTGCACAACAACTCCTGGCGCTGTGACAAGGGCATCCTGCCCCTGCAGGGCTGGCTGGAGGAGAACCCTCACAAGGTGGGTGAGATACCCCCGCTGTGTGCCCAGCCTCTCGCCCTGCAGGGCATCCCCATCGCTGGACTACCACAGGACCATTTCCTCGACCCCCAGCCCCCTACTGCTGCTCCCCATCCCAGCACCCTGCTCCCTGCTGACACCTCTGGGGAAGCATCACCAGAAGATGCCTCGATGGAGCCCCCCACGGGGCTGCCAGCCTCCCCACAGGAGGAGGAGGAGGAGGAGAGGAAGGAGGAGGAAGAGAGGGGGCAGTGGGGGCTGACACGCCTGCAGAGTGGGGTGGTGGTGGCAGTCATCGTGCTGGTGTGTGTGGCCCTGCTGGCTGCTCTGGTGGCACTGGTGGTCTACGGCTGCAGGAAGAAGAGCCATGTTGTGCTCATGAGGATGAAGGCTCCGAATGAAGCCTGAGTATCTGGCAGACCCGAAGGGCAGAGGTGCTTGTGGGGTCAAAGGACATGACAGTGGCTCTGCATGACTGGGGTGGGACAACATCACCGTGTGTGCTGTGTGTACCACTGTCCTCCTGCTCTGCTTTGCCCTGCCCCTGCTCTGCAGCAGGGCCTCCCCACTGAGTGACCTCTATCTGCTGCCCACTATCCCCAGCCCTTCCTGCCTCCGGGGCAGCCTCTCTGCTCATTCCCTGCCCGGGTCCAGCAGCTGAGGTGTGGGATGCAGAGAGGGACCCCTCGAGCCAGGAGCCACAGCCTGGCCATGATGGTGCTTTACCCCAAATAACAGGACTTCCCCATCCTTCACCTTGCATCATTCCCTGCAGTGCTGCTGCCCTCATGCTGCCTGCTGCCCTCACCCCTGCCCAGCCCCTCTTCCTCACCTTCTGCCCCCACCATGCCTCCCCCCTTGCCCCTGCCTGGGCAGGCAGTGTGAGCCGTCGTGCTGGGCCAGGAGCCGAGCGAGCACCTTCGCCCCAGGAGAGCTGCATGTCTTCTGCTGCTCCATCACTCACCGGTGCCTGGGCAGGGCTCCCCGTGGGGCTGGGCTGCTGCCAGGCTGGCACACCCCGAGTGTCTCAGCTGCATCCCAGCTGCCCTCCCTGCCTGCAGGCAGGGCAGGCCAGAGCACAGCCAGCACCTCCTCCTGCCCACAGCACCTGCCTGCTTCCCTCATGCACCTCCAGCCAGGAGAGCCAGGGGACAGTGTGCTGGCATTGGGGATAGGCAGGAGCAGCCCTCCAGCCCACACTGCTCGCTGGTGCTGACCCTGCTGTGGCTGTGCCCCTGCCTGTAGTGCCCTGCCTCGGCCCCACAGGGTGCCAGGGGCTTGCACTGGCCCCACTGTGAGGGTAGAGGAGTGGGGCAATGGGTGTGAAGTGTCTTAGGGGCTGGGAGAAGCCTCTGTACTTGTGCTCCTGGGCTGCTAGAGCATGTTGGAGCTGCATCTACTGCACCCCATTCCTTGTCCTCATTTCCTTAACACTCTCCACCAGCTAGTGAGCAACCTGGTCCTGCTCTGCTTCACAAAACTTCTTCATCCTCTTCTTACTCCCTGCAGTGCCCTCCTGTGTGTGCCCAGTGCCCCTGTTTGGTGGCAGCCCTTGGCCAGGGGGGATGCTGGCAGCAGGGTCAGCAAGTGCTGCTGCTCTGCAGTTTGCAAATGGGTGCCACGCCATCCCCCCAGAGCACCTGTATCCAGCTGCCTTCTGCAGCTGTAGCACGACCACGGGGGGATTCACCTCACCTCCATGTGTGCTGCAGTGGCACCAGGCTGCCTGAGCTGCTGTGGGACACGGAGTGTTTGGTGTCTGTAGTGCTGGCTGCTCGTAGCACCTCCCTAGCCCCTGCTGGCACAAGCAGCTCCACGCTGGTGCCTGTGGTGGGTCACTCCTCTGAGCTGAGTCCTGCGTGGTAACAGGAGACACGGGACTGTATCATGGGGCTGTTGGGTGCTGATGTGTGACCTTCCCATTAAAGTGCCTTTGTCCACTCCAAGTGCCAGGAGCTGTTTATTCACTCCTTCATGGTGGGCAGAGGGGGAATGGCCCAGCAGGAACAAGGGCTGCACTCTGAGGAAACTGAGTTTCCACTCCTCAGAAATTCTTACAGTGTTGAGGAAAAGCCTGTACAGGTTGGTAAGTCTGGGAGAGGGTTAGTGGGCTGTGTTTGCAGAGCCCTTGCTCATCCCTGGACTCCAGCCTGGGATGGGAGTCCAAGGAGGGTTAAGCCATACAACAGAAGTGGGTGGGCTTTTAGAGAATGAGCTGAGACCTCAGCGAGCTCCTCAATGGAGACCCTCTCTCCTGCAGAGTCCACTGCTGGGGTGGTGGGGAGCTTGCTTGATTCCCCAGAGCTGGCTGCCACTGGATTGTGTCAGCTGTGTTTTTCCAGGTGTCACCATCTGCTCCATGAGCCTGACTGAGTGCAGTAAGGTATCCCTCCTCCTTCCCCTGGGGGTGCCTCCATTGCTACTGCCAGCCCAGCCTGTGCCAACACAGGCCCTTGCCATGCAGCTTTTATGGCAGTGTGTGCTGCTCCTACAGGCAGGTTGAAACTCCTAGGGAGTTCAGCTGATCCATGGGTCCCTCATCATCCCACTGCTGGCTGGGATGCCAAGCCCCTGGTGACCACCATGATGGTCCCACAGTGGTCCCTTCCTCATAGAATCATAATGTTGGAAAAGACCTCTAACATCATGTTCAACCTTCATCTGCCTTGCTAAGCTGCACCTGGTCTCCTCTCATGGCAGAGATATTTTAAGCACCATTTCCCAGTGAGATTTAACAAAGTCCTGGGGTTCTCTTAGGGGGATTCTGGAAGCAAGTATGTTGACCTTGGTGTGGGACTGGAGCCCCCTGTGACAGCAGCACCCTGCCACCATCCCTGCAGCAGTGGATGTCCGGGGCCAGAACCCCACTTCCTTGCCAGGATGCTCGCAGGCAGCTGCCTCTCCTCCTCACCTCCAGTCCCTCTGAGGCTGGGTTATTTTTCAAAGTGCTCCAAGGACACGGGTTGTTGTTGCCGATAAGAAATGAGGGGCAGCTCCGCCCCAGCAGGAAGAGCTTGTCCCTGGCTTCAGCTGACTTCCCATCTGCCCCAGAAAACACTGTCCCATCTCAGCAAGCAGCATCCCTGCAAATCTGCCACAGGTTCAGCGACCATGCCCGTGATGCCACACTTGGTAAGTGGTGCCCACACTGCTTGGGTACTCTGGGGGCTTGAGACGGGTGGGAGCCACTGTTGGCTCTGGTGAACAAAGCAAGATAGAGAAAAGGAAATTCCAAGCCCAGTGCTGCTCTCGAGTGCTGTTGTGAATCCAGGAGAGCTCCACTGATGGGGGGTGTCTGTAGGTGGGCATTGCAGTGGGGTGGGCAGTATCCCCATCACGAGGCAGCACTGGCATGTATCCCTACTAGGGAGGGACTGGCAGAGGTCTGGAGGCCACTGCTTCAGAAAGTGCTTCTGTGGGATGGGCACAGGCGTTTGGTCAGGCTGAATATTTCCTTGTGGAAAAAGAAGTATCCGGCAGGCAATTAGAAATACAAGTGGTGGAGCCCACTCCTATTGCCACTGAGCTCAGAGCAGCCCTGCAGGGTTGTTCCCATCACCCAGTGTGTGCAGCACAGCCCTGTGTTTCACATATTCTCCTGCCTCAGAGCCTGGCTTTGTGCCTGTGGACACATCTGAAGAGGGTACAAGTTCCCTCCAAGACTTCCACAGACAGGGTGGGCGGGGGCACAGAGTAAAAACCCTGGGGAGACATCTGGGAGAAAAGTGCTCCCCATTCCTGCAAGGGGAGTGCTGGGGAGGTGCTGGCAGCAGGGGCTGGAGGGATGCCCCATGGCCAGGGCAGCTGTCTTTGCGGGTGGTGTCTGAGAGGTTGATCCTGCTGCATTTCTGTCTGCACAAGCCCTTTCCCCAGCACTGCCTGCCTGGGGGTGCATGGGGTGAGGCTTGGTTCCTTCTCTAGTGCAGGCTGGTGATCTGTGTGTTGCTGGACCTGGGGTCCCTGCTGGTGGGGGCACTGTCCCCATCCTGCCCCCCTACCTGCCAGTGCTACGACACCTCCAAAGTCTTCTGCTCAAACGAAAGAATGCGGGAGATCCCGGAGGGCCTGCCAGGAAGTGCCACCCACCTCTTCTTCGTGGAGACAGCCCTGAGCAGCGTCCACAGCAGGGACTTGGGCTCCAGCACCATCCTCACCAAGCTGGTCTTCATCAATAACAACATCCAGGAGCTGGAGGCTGGTGCCTTTCAGGGGCTGCCCAGCCTTACTGAGCTGGAGGTGTCAGGCAGCCCCTTGCCAGCCGTCAGCCCTGGGGTGCTGGCAGGGCTGAGCAGCCTCCTGAAGCTCTCCCTCAATGCCAACGCCATCCGCACCCTGCAGCCGGGGCTCTTCACTGCCTCTTGCCGCCTGCAGGACCTGAGCTTGTCAGGGAACAGGATTGAGGCACTGCCCCCTGGCATCTTCCGCCCACTCCGGCGGCTCCAGGCCCTGGACCTCTCACAGAATTTTCTGGCTGAGCTGCCGGATGGGCTGCTGGCCCCGCTTACCGCCCTCCGTGTCCTCAAGCTCAGTGACAACCTGCTGGCACAGGTGCCTCCTGGTGCTTTCAGGGCACTTGGCCAGCTGACTGAGCTCCACCTGGATGGCAACCAGCTGGAGGAGCTGCCCTCCGGCATCTTCTCCGGGCTGGGGGGGCTGCGGCGGCTGCAGCTGCAGCACAATGCCCTGGGCAACCTGGCCCCTGACATCTTCACAGGTCTCCTCAACCTCACTGTCCTCAGCCTGGAGGGTAACAACCTGGCCACCGTGCCTGCCATCCTGCTCACTGGCACCCCTGGCCTCCTCCACCTCTCGCTGGCTCGTAACCAGCTGGAGACACTGCCCCAGGAGCTCTTTGCTAACCTGTCGGTGCTGGAGACCCTGGTGCTCTCACACAATGCCATGGATCACTTGCCCACGGGGGTTTTCCAGGGGCTGGCAGGGCTGACAGAGCTACAGCTGAGCCACAACAATCTCTCCAGCCTGCCGGCGAGGCTGCTGGCTGGGCTGCCCCTCCTCACTGCCCTGGTGCTGGACCACAACCGCCTGGCCCGCCTGCCCCCGGGGTTCTTCGATGCCAACGATGAACTGGTGCGTGTGGGGCTGTCCGACAACCCCTGGGTCTGTGACTGCCACCTCTCCTACCTCCTGCACTGGCTCCAGAGCTTTGCTGAGCCCCTCATCCACGGCCAAGCCTTCTGCTCCAATCCAAGTGCTCTCCGGGGCCAGTCCCTGCTGGAGGTCTCCCGCGGGCAGCTGGAGTGCCCAGGAGCACACGGTGTCCCCCCGGAGGAAGGCTGGGACACAGATGCTGCGGGGCAGTGCACTTACACCAACCCCGAGGGCACTGTAAGCGTGGCCTGCAATGCCACAGCCTGCCAGCGGCTCAGCCTTCGCCTCCCTCCTCCTGGGCAGGAGCAGGGCTTGGGGCCGGGATACCGGCGTGCCTGGGTGCTGCGCTCCCGCTGTGGCACGCTGCAGGTCAGTGTCCTTGTCACAGCACAGAGCAGGAACGAGGCCACACCACCAGGTCTCCCCTCGGTGCCCTAGAGCTTGGGCAGGCGTTTGCTTCTACTCCGGCAGCCTCTGAACCAGCCTGGGAAGCAAAACAGCTCTCTGTCTTGCTCTGCTACCGCTGCCATGGTCACCGGCTGTCACCGAGCTCCCTGCAACAGCTGGCCTGGTGGTATTTATCCTCTCAGCTATGTGTTTCCTGTGTGTTTCAAATATAATTAAAATTTATCTAGTATTTCTGTGCTGCTAGTTCTTATGGCAGAGAGAGGAATCATTCTGCTCCCCCACCACTGTCTGTGCATCTGGGAGGGGCAGTGAAGGTCACTGTGGTACACTGGGATCTTGTCAGGAGCTGTGCATGCTGTGGCATAGGCACAGGTGCCTGGTGGTGAGTAGGTGCCACTCTGGCAAGCTCACTGTGTGCTCACGTCTGCCTGCTGCAGCCACCTTCCCTCGGCACTGCAGAGGGAAGAGAGGCCCAGCTGCAGCCTGGAAAAACCTCAGGACACAGATTTGTGCTGTCCAAGAGAGGTGTGGGTGAGTGCTGCTGAGTGCCCAGCAAGGGGATTGAGCCAGCCCAGATGTACCCAGGCAGGTCCCCTCTGACCTTGTCAGGGCTTGGCCTGCAGCCCTGCAGCCTGAAAATGGAATGTGCCAAGTTTCACCTAAACAAGAGAAAGAGATTTGTTGTGAAGGTGAGTGGAACAGGTTGCCCAGCGAGGCTGTAGAGTCTCCTCTGAAAATACTTAAAAGCCGTCTGAACAGAGCCATGAGTACCCTGGGAACCCTTCTTCAGCAGGGAGGTTGGACTAGATGACTTCCACTGGTCCCTTCCAACCTCTCCCATCCCGAGATTCTGATTCTGTGACCTGTGGAGATGAGGCACAAAGTCCCACCCAGGGGTGACAGGTAAGGCGTGTGCTCCCCTGGGAGGGCCGGTGTGGGTGCACACACGGGGGTGTCCGTGCCAGAGTGTCCCTGTGCCTGTCCGTGCCCGTGAGTGTCCCCGCGTGTCCCCGAGCCTGGGGCCGTGCATGTCGGTGCGGCGGTGCTGCGGCACCATCTCGTGGCCATCGGGACCGGGCTCCGCGGGCCCGGCAGAGCCGGGGACATGGCTGTGTACGACCTTGATATTGCAAAGGGGTAAGGCTGTTGAAAATGTGCGGTAGTTTTTGAATTTGCCAGGAAAAGTGCAATGAAACGCAGCAAGCAGAATCTGAGTTTTATAGGAGCAGGTGCAAAGGGAAGTTTAAATGCAACCTGTTCAATAACCCATTGGGAAGCAATGGATATCCTGTCAGTTTGCCTCAAAATGAGCATCCCACAGGATACCCTGAACTGGCCAGGAGCTCTGGGTGTCACATGGGAGGGTCTTTGGCTTGCACTGGGGTGCAGCACACAATACTAGGGCCAGCAAGGTGTGGAGATGTGAGGCTGAGCACAGAGCCTGGGTGCTGTATCTGTCGAGCCACAGAGGTTTCACTGTTTAAAAGCATTAAAAATGACTTCAGAACTGCACTTTTAGCTACATAAGGCAAATCCTGAGGAATGAAACAGCTGTCTGTTGTGTCGATGGGGGTGGTGTTTGTGAAACCGATGAGTTACCCTGGTGGAGATATGGGACCACAGAAACAGACCATTGCCTGCAAACAGGCTGGCCTGGAGATCTTCAGCTTTCCCTGGATGTGACGAGTCAAGTGGTGCCAGCAGATAACGCCTGGGGAGTACGTGACTGCGTCCCCTCCAACGGGTTTCTGCTGTGGCCTCCTGCACTGGGGGCACAGCTCCTCTCCTGGGTCCCGGCCGTCCCTTATCTCCCTGCACAGACCTGTGTCCTGACCTCATGTGAAGCTGAGCCCCGTGCCTGGGATGTGGATAAAGAGCAGGCCAGGTGATGAGACCCCCATCTGGTGTCCTCACTCCTGGCTTGGCATGGCTCGATCCGCTGGCTGAACTCATTTGCAAGCGCTCAGCCAAGTAAGTGATGCAAAATGTTTTTTTTAGCTCTTTAAAATGTGCTGGGAGGGGTGGTGTGGAGGGCTGATTGTTTCCTTGCAGCAAGGATCAGGGGAGGCTTCAGTGCCACGAGCTGGGACCATCTCTCCATGACTCTGCCTGGCTGGAGTAGGGGACAAGCATGAGACCACAGTGAGGGATTTAAAAGGGCTTTGTGGCTCAAAACTGTCTATTTTCATCCCCACCCACTCAGATGTTTCCACATTTCACCCACTGCACTGCCCCTGCGGCAGAAGTGAAGCAGGAACTTCTACAGCCACAGCCCCAGCTCCGCCGCCTGAGTCTCCCTGGGGAGAGGATGGGCAGGGATCAACAGTGGCTTCTGCCCTGGGAGCCCTGGGGGGCAGCCTGCACAACCGATGTCACCTCCCATCCATTTCTCTTCAAACCACGTGGCTTTCAGTCTCCTGTATTTGCTGACGTCTCAACATTCTTTAAAAAATAACTTTTCATAGCAAATTTACCTTCCCAGAATAAGTTTTTTTGCATGGTTAGCTTTGATGGTCACCCAAGAAGAAATCCGTACCTCTTTTCCCTGCTCCCACCCAGGGCTGTGAATTAAAAGCTGGAAATATGGTCCCAGTGAGGCGCTCACGGCAGTTAAACCCCAGTTAATGTGTTAGCTGAGTGTTTCCAAATGTTTCCATGGGAGAAATGGGCTTTACTAGTAGGTGTGCATCAGTGATTTCACTTCCTACCTGCAAGGTCAGAGCCCCAAATGTTAGGTGTTAAAGAGTTCATCTGTGGACATTCCGAGGTTTTAATGAGCCTTGCTGTAAAGCTTGGTTGCTGTTCACAGGTTAACTATTTCTGTCTGTCAGAGCTGTATAAACAAGGCCAAAATATGGTGCAATTATCAAGAATCCTGAAAAAAAAGATGCTTAGAAACCATGCTTTAATTCAGCCCCCTGAACTGAGGGAAGCAGCAATGAAATAGCAAGTCTACCCAGCACAGGGTGGAAATTCTAAGCACACAAGGTCCTCTGGTCTTGGCTGGCTCCTGGGAGCCTTGCTGATCCCTCATTAGCAAATGCAGGGCTGACTGCTTCTGTTGTTGCATGAATGGGCTGTTGCCCTGCTGACTAACTGGACCCACTGGGGCAGCACTAATGGGCAGCAGCACTTTGCCTTCTTCGCCCAGGCAGACTGAGCCTACAGCTCAAACACGTGAGAAGAGGGGCCAGAGAACAGACTGTCCAGCCCTTGTCCCTCCTGGAGCATCTCCCAGTGCAAGCCATGAGCTGGCTTGCTTTCCCTCTCCATCCCTTGGTACCAACAGCAGTGAACTTGTGTCAATGCAGCATGTTTGCTTGTCCAGTCCCTCTCTTTCTCATGAAATGAGTCATGGTATGTGAATAGATGAGTCCTGAGAGCTGAACAACAGTGTGATACCACAGTTCATGAGCTGTGGACAGAGATTTCTTGTTCTTCATAACTGATTTTTGAAGCTTCTTTTTCCAGGACAATGTACCAGCATATCCTTTTCCTTTTCCTCCTCTCCTTCAGTCCCCATAAATGCCAAGATCAAATCCTGGGTGAAGATCCATATGAAATGCCCAAAGACTACCAGGAGGTCTACAGAGGAACAAAAAATGATGTTAAAGAGATCCCGAAGATTGCAAAGCCCTTTGTTTCTGAGATGATCTTTGTGCAAACCAGCATCACTGCTATCAGGAAAGGTGCCTTCAGGTACATGCCCAACCTAACCAAGATTTTGTTAATTGGCAACAAGATCAAGACTGTTGAACCTGGATCCTTTGATAATTTGGACAAGTTGAGGGAATTGGACATCTCTGGTGCCTCATTAGAAAAACTATCTGTGGGCACTTTCCAAAACCTCCCAAGTTTACAGAGGCTGGAGCTGAGAGACAGCCAGCTCAGATCCATCCCCAAAGGCCTGTTTGATGGGCTGGAAAGTTTGGGAGAGCTCTCCCTGCACATCAATGCAATCCCTTCTCTTCCAGAAGGCATTTTTGATTCTCTTGTCAATCTAACTTTTTTGGACCTGTCTAGAAACAGGATCACAGCTCTTCCTGGGAATGCCTTTAGCAAACTCACCCAGCTGCAAGTCCTCCGGCTGTATGAGAATGAGTTGCAGGACCTCCCAGAGGGACTGCTGGACAGTCAGCTGGAGCTGCTGGAGCTCAGCCTCCAGAGGAACAGGCTCAGGGCACTGCCACCCATGCTTCTGAGGAGCCTGCCTCACCTGGAGAAACTCTTCTTGGACAACAACCTCATCAGGGTTCTCCCAGCTCAGGGCTTTTTTGGTTTAAACAAACTGAAGTTGCTGACTCTGGGCTCAAACCATATTATGGAGCTCCCCTGCTGCCTTTTTGACACCATGCCACACTTGCGGGAGCTGGATCTGGGCAGGAACAGTTTGGCCACACTTCCAGATGGCGTCTTTGTCAATCTCACATCCCTTGGCAAACTCATCTTGTCCCACAACCAGCTATCTGCCCTGCCAAGAGGAGTCTTCACAGGGCTCAGCAAGCTCTTGGACCTCCAGCTGGACACAAATCAGCTCTCTGCTCTGGATGAAGAGGTCTTTGCTTCTCTCCCAAATCTGAAAACCCTCAACCTTCGAAAGAACCAGCTGGAGAGTGTTCCCCAAGGGCTCCTAGACCCTCTGAAGAAGCTCAGCTCAGTGTATCTGAGTGGTAACTCATGGAGATGTGACTGCAACCTCTGCTACCTGCACCGCTGGATCCTGCACAACAGGGAGAAGGTCAAATTGTCCACCCAAGTCTCCTGTAAGAGCCCACCCCACCTGGCAGGACAAGAAGTAACATTGCTGAGGGATGAACACCTGATTTGCCCAGGCACTCTGCCCTTTAACTCCACACCATCGCAAAGGACAGCAACGTTCCTGTCACATGGAGCCACGTCCACAGCAGCACCAACCATGCTGTCATTGGCATCCTTTCCCATCAGGACACTGCCAACCACTCTTTCACCTGTGGTCACCTCTGCTGTGTTGCCAACCATGCCAATGGAAGTTGCCTTCACCACTCTGTCACTAACCAAGCCACCTAAGGCCTTTGTCACCACCCCAACACCAGCTGTGCTGCAGAAGACCTTCGGTGCCAGCCAATCAATAACCAATAAGCCCAAGGCCTCCATCACCACACCATCAACAACCAGTGTGCCCAGGTCCTTCATCACCACACCATCACCAACCGTGCTACCAAAAGCCTTCATCAGCACCTCATCTCCAGCTGTGCTGCCAGAGACCTCCATTACAACCTCATCTCCAGCTGTGCTGCCAGAGACCTCCACTGCCACACCATCACCATCAGCTGAGATGCCCAAGGCTTCCATCACCACTCCATCATCAGCTATCTCAACTTCAGCCATTGTAAGGCTACAGTCTCCTGGGGCTACCCACCCAGACCCTGTGCTACCCGCTCTAGCTGCTGCCACCACACAGGTGCAAACAAGCCCACTGGCAGCCACCACCAGACAAGAGCCTCCTGCTCTCTCAGTGCCCAGGGAGAAGCCAGCCACCATCCCACAGGGAACACCCATAGCCCCCCTTGTCTCAGCTTCCTCCGTGGCACTCTGGCCATCCCCCAGGACTGCTGCTCTGGGCACAGTCCCACTGGCCTCACATTCGCCATCGCACCGTGCTCCTGCGCCAGGCAGGGAATGGGGCTATTCCACCACGTGCGACCTGTCCACAGCTGGTGCCCAGCCCACCCCCACTGCCCCCCAACACGCTCCTGCTCCGGCAGGCACTGTCCTGCTCCCAACACCTCCCGTCCCCACACTATCAGACAGCACGAGCCCCTGCCCAGCCTCTCCACCCCTGGTCCCCAGCAGCCATCGTGCCTGGGGCTCATCCCTATGGGCCAGCCCATGGCAGTGCCAGGTGTCCCTGGCCTTGGGGGTGGCCGTGCTGGCACTGCAGGCAGCCTGCACACTGCTGGGGGGGGTGGTCGCCCTCCTTCTTCACCAGGACACCCGCCACCAGCCCGGGCCACCTCTGCGGCTGCTGAGCGTTCAGGCGCTGGCTGCTCCGGGGACCCCTGAGCCAGCCCCGGCACCACCTTGAGCTTTGCTGTCCCTGTATGACCTGGGCTGTGCCAGTTGTCCTCCTTTGGGGTCTGCAGCCGTGCTGGCCGCAGGGTGCGCTGTCCCTGGGATGGGGGTCCCGGCACCCAGGCCGATCCCAGTGCAGGGGCTCCCCGCAGCCGGGCTGGTTTGGGATGACTCCTGGCGATGCTGGGAGCCTGCAAGCCTATGCGCGGTGTCCCTGCCTGACGGCCCTTCTGCCAAGGGACACTAGATGGCATCCCGACACCGGCAGTGGCTGCCGCCGCCTGACCGCGGCCACCGAAACGCCGGAGCCCCCGCACCGCGGACATGGCCGCTTCTTGGCCATGGTCAGGAGCCCCTACCCGAATCTCCTCCCATCCCTGGAAGGTGCTCGCAGACCTTGGGGAAAGATATCACAAGACTTCCTGCCCTGCCGTTCTTTTCTCTGTGCCGCGTTACAGGATGTGGCAGTGTCTGTGCCACCATCATACACAGATCTCTTCCCCTCTCCCTGTCCCTTTCCTCCTCCCTGATATTAAAGCTTCCTCTGCATGTCTGATGGGCTGGAGAAAAGACTGTTTTCATCCTGGGGCTTTTCTTGCCATGACCTGCTGTGGGGGATTCCTTTTGCTTGCTGGAGTGTGGGGTCTCCACTGAGTGCTGGGGTAGGACCAGGGCCGACCCTCCACAGACTCTGGTACTGTGAGACAATAGATAAGCTTTTCTTCCCACTCCTAAATCTCATGTCCCCCAAAACCCCCTTGTGGTGCTGCCCAGCCCCTCTGGAAGAGTGATGCTTCAGCATGGCTGGCCATGTGCTTCTTTACCACAAGCTCACCTGGTGCTGAGCCCTGGCTGCAGGATGGGAACAGGTCTTTTGGGAAACTCGGGAGGAAGGGTTGGTGAGAGCCTTCACCTCAGCAGTCCTGGGCTCCTGCCAGGCCCAGGGAAGTGCCAAACTTAAACAAAAGTGGCTGTTCCTCTGTGGTTTCTGCCATCACAGAAAGTGTTGAAACCTTTCCTGGGAAGCTTTATTCCAGGAGAATTTGAGCCGATGAACACAGGGGTTGTTCCCTTGATTCGGGTCTCTAGGTACCTTTTTTTTTTTTGCTTTAGCTTCAGTGTTGATTTTGTCCTGTGCACGGTAAGCTGCTCCCAAATTTGATCACAGTTTCTGCAGGGTTGCAGGTGTCTGTCTTCAACTCCTTGCCATTGCTGCTGGTGCCTGCTCCGTCTTGTCCTGCCTTTGGCTGCCCTTCCCCAGTTGTGTGGCGTGGGGGCTGCCTGGCATGGAGGTGTCCAGGGAAAGAGTCCCAGAAAAGCAATAGTCTGGACATGTGTGTTTCACAAGAAAAAGTGGGAAAGCAATTCAGAAACCTCCTGGCCAGTGAGCCCTGAGCACCCCAGTTCCCCTGCCTGGTGCAAGACCAGGGGAGGGGAAAGGGGCTTTGTGCCAGACTGCATGCCTGCAGCTATGCATTAGGGACCTGGATATACATCCTTGCTGAGAACCTGTGCAGTGTTACAGGCCCTTCAGCTGCTCCTTGAAGTCCTGCTGACGGCTGTGAAATACGGGAGGCGAGCATGGAGCAGCACATCTGGGCGGGATGGAGCGAGCAGCTCCGGGGCCAGGGCTGGCACAGCAGGTAATGAGATACAGATGAGGGGGAGGGAGTGTTTTTTCTGGCAATCCAGATGGACTCGGTTTAATACTTGATTTAGAGGGTTTGAAAGCGGGGCCCGGCTGCTGGGGAACAGACCCCAAGCACTTCCCAAGGTGGTGGTGGTGGGGGGGGTGTCTCTGCTGGCTTTTCAGATATTTAATGGCCCAGCACAGTCTAAACAGGGAAGTACTTCGGGGTGAGATTAGCACAACATAATCACATCTTAAAAGGTCTTCAGAGACACAAGGCACGTCCGCTCTCATATTAATTACTGGTTATTAATAAAGCTGGGGTCAGGCATGAGGTGTTCACTCCGGAGCATGCTGGTTCCTTCTTTGCAGTATCTGAAAGCAACCCAAAGCCCTGCAGCCTCCACCTGTGCCCATCCGGCTCTGGAAGCCAAATGGCTGACATTCCTACAGCTGCTTTTGAAACTAATTTGCCCCATAATACCCCGAAAAGGCCACATCTCTCTAAGTGGCCAGAACACCTCTAAGTGCTTCAGAGTGCTGTAAAATAATAACAGCCAAGGGTGTTCTCAGCACGGGAATTTCCTGCTATGATCGATTTGTAATTTGCAATGAAAATACAGTGTGCATGTTCCCAGGGCCAGGCTGGTGCAGCTGGCTCACAGGCAAGAGTCAGCTCCCTCCACCACTTCAGGGCCAGCCCTTGGAGGGTTACGGCTGGGCTGGGAGGAATTAGCAGCTGTTCCCATTTGCCCCTGTTGGCCCCAGTGTACTCCAGGAGGGAAGGAGCTTAGAGGGATGCAGGGCGTCCTGGGGGCAATGTGCCTGCGCAGCCTGTGGGGCAGCACCCTGGGGTTTCCTGCTTGCTGAGCAAGAGGTGCCAGAGAGCACATGGAGATGGGGCAGAGCATGGGCATCTGCACCAGGGAGATCAGTGTTTGCTGATTCGGGGCTACAGCTCACTGCAATGAAGGTGTGTGGCTGGGCCAGGTGCTGTGGAGTGCAGAGTCCCTGGCACACCTTCTCCACTCTGGGCTGTGGGCAGCCTAGGCATCCCTTTGCAGCACACCACTGCACTGGGTAGTGGTCAGTAGTTTTTAACCTGTGAATTTCTCTGGTTTCTCTGAACTCAGGTAAGATCCAGAGCACCATGTGGTGAGGAGTGCCCAGGATTGCCCATGCGCTGAACGAGGCATCACCTCGCTTTGCTCTTCCTCTGCTTGCTGCTCTTTGCACAGGATGCCCCTGGCTCTTGTTTTGGAAAAAAAACAGTTGAGTATCCCCATGTGGCATCTCCAGGCTGCTCATGACACTCTACACCTCTTCCCAGTTGCTGTGACTGCCTGACATCCTCACAGCCTCAGGTGACCAACAGTTAGAAGCAGAGACAGGAGACATTCATGTGTGTCCCTGAGTGGTGCTGGGACCAGGGGACTCCAGTATGGCCTGGGAGTCCTGCAGCTGCTGCTGGCTCTCTCCCTGCCCTGTGCAGGTGAGACGTGGCTCCCACAGCACTGTCACATGCTGCAGCACTGACCTGTAACCCTCTGTATGTCAGCCCTGCCAGGAGCCACCCATGCTGTGGGTGTGGTGGCCTGTCCCTGCCACCTGCTTCAGTTCCCTTTCCTGTCCCTGGGGAATGGGCAGGAAGGGGGCTCACAAGCAAAACTCTTTCTTGTGGCTCATGGCAGGGGGGCAATGAACACCTGCATGAGGGGATTTGCAGTATAACCCACACGAGGAGCAAGCCTGGGCTATGGTGGGCAAGTCTCACTGCTGGCTTGTGATGGGATCCCAGCTCGTGGCCACGCTGCCACACTCAGCATCCCTCTCCACACCCACTCACAGTACCCATCCAGCCACGTCAGGCTGCCTCTTGCAGAAAGCCCAGTGAGACACATTGGGCAAGAGCTGAACTGGGACATTCCTTCCTTGCTTTACCCTTGGCATCTCCCACCCCTACTGCAGCAGGGGCCTGACTTCCCCAGGGGCAGCAAGAGGACACACAGCAGGAGGGATGAGGCTCAAGCAGATGTGGGGCTGACACCCCTGGCATTATCATCCTGTCTGCCTCATGCCTTGGGCTGTCCAGGCTTTTATTCAGGGTTTGGGCAGGGCATGAGAGCAAGGGCAAGAAAAACAAGCTGTTGCATCCTCCCTTGGGCAGCGAGAGAGCCCGGAGGGGCGGAAGTTCCTGTTTGTTTAAGGTGCAAACAAGTGCTGTTAATCTGCTGCCTGTTTGTATTTCTTTAGAGCTCCTGAGTGTGGGGGGAGCGGAGCTGGGGTCTCCCCTTTGTGCTGGGGCAGGGTCAGGCTATTGGAAGTGGAGGTGAGAAAACGCAGAGGGGCAGCTGGAACCTGCTTTGGGAGGGAAAGATTTTTTTCGGCTATTTATGATAATTAGTGGGAAACGTTCCTCAAGCGTTTCAGATGATTCTGTAATGAAGTTGGGTCGAATGTTTCCACTTTGTTCCCCTGGAACCATTAAAAATCCCCCTTCTTTGGCTGCCTTAATTCAATGCTGAAAGGCACAATGGCATAAAAGTGGCTCTGGGCAGGGCGGCACGCCTCCCGCCCCTCCAGATAGAGCCCTTCAGAGCCCAGATTTTCTGGGTTATAAACCTCAGCACTTGTAATGTTTGTGCAGAAGCTGCTGTGGATCCTGTGTCCAGAGCTCCTTCACATCCCTGCTGCCAGTCTGCGTGTGAGCGCCACTGAGACTGGTGTGCTCAGAGGGAGCAAAGGCCAGCACAAGCACAGCAGAGTGACAAAGAGCAGGCACAGACAGGGATGCCATCACTCCACTGTTACAGAAAAGCTATTTTCTGCCCGTGGTTGTGCTGCGAGCTTGCTGGGGTGAAATGCTGCACTGGGAGAGGATCAGGCTCCATTCAGGGGAAAATGTGGGGGTCCAGCCCAAAGGAAAGTCCTGCTGTGCCAGTGCTGTTCTAGGCCAGATCCTGCTCTGCCTGCTGGGCCAGGCAGCACCCAGGCACCAGCACAGAGCAAGGGGCCTGAAATCCAGCCATGACCCTCCAGGTGACTCATGAGCAGTCTGCAAGAGCTGGCTCAGTCTCCTCTTGCTTTTAGCAGTGGAAGGCTTTTCCAGCGTATGTGATGAAAAGAAAATCCACCTGCCTGATCTCACACATCTATCAGCACTATTTCCCCAGGGATGATGTGTAAAGCTAATGGGAGCTCTCCTGCTAAAGCTGTGATAAAAAGAGAAAATGGCAAGAGCTTTTAGCATACTGGTGGGGGCTGAATGTGATGGATTTTGGCCTCCCCATCAATATTCTCATGTGGATTCCAGTCGAGCTCAATGTCCTAGACTGAGCATGGGGCTGCAGCAGGCAGGGGGGAGCTGCTCCCCTCCTGCTTCTCTTTTGGCTGGGCAAGGGCAGCTGGGGAGTGCTTGGGCACCCAGTGTGGGCATCCAGCATTGGCACAGTCCTGCAGCTCTGTGGGGCAGGAGGGAGCCATGCCTGCTGGCCAGGCAGCTTCCCTCCCTAACCACAGGCAGTGTCTTTCAGACAGTGACTGCAAACTGGGAGCACATCATCCTTAATGCCCACCCCCTGCCCCATGGCTGAAGCCAGCACGCCCCACTAAGGTACTAAATCATCCAGCTGTGGAGGAAAGGCTCCCCAGGAGTTGCCCCATCCCTCTGCCTCGCCTGCCCCTCCCATAATTAAGAAGTCATATCAGTCCCTTCACTCCTTTCAATGGAGAAAAATTTGCAAACAAATTCCTGCCAGCAGGACTTTCAAGCTCTCCTGCACGGTGGGATAAAGATACCTGTCACCTCTGCCCTGTCCCCAACACCAGCTGGTGCTGGGAGCACAGCTGGGGAGCTCCATGCTCTCCACAGGGCTGGTGACTCC